TAATACCAAGTTGCGACAACGAGGTCAACTCACTTCTATAAATCGAAAGGAGACTGCGACCACACCAGAGGCCACAACATCTTGGTCTTCATATTGCTAGTTTAGTTGTTTTATGAATATTGATGAAGGGGAAAGATTGATCGGACGAGTCCTTTTGTAGATTGTTATATGAATGAATCTGTCATTGACAGATGGAATCTTGACATATCACTATTTTAACTTTGAGAAGCAAATTTTGCGGTTTGTCTTGTTGCTTTATTGTTTTTGTGATGGCTTTATCATATTTTAACCTTAATGGATCTGATTAATATCACATATTTTACTCATTCCCCATAATTAATTTTGTTTTATGCCAACATTTGTATTTATATTATAGTTTAAACTTCGTAACGACAGTCCCAATAAAATGCGAGCTTCCGCCTACAGTCTTTCGCCTGTCTGTGAAAAAAGTCAACGTCTTCTTCAATATCCTCAGAAGGTTGGTACAATTATTTCAATTAACCTTCATGCCCATATTTTATATGCACTCATACCTATCGAAGTTTTTACACTTAACTCTCACTTATTTCTCAAGCTTCTTCTGATTTCTAATGAAGATTTTTTCTTTCCTTTCCTGCATTCGCTTCATTTTAAGCCAATGCGTCGAATCCCTAGAGTGCCTTACAAAGTACTTGATGCACCTGAACTCCAGGATGACTTTTATCTAAACTTAGTTGATTGGTCTTCGCAGAACATGCTTGCAGTTGGCTTAGGGACTTGCGTGTATTTGTGGAGCGCGATAACTAGCCAGGTATTTACTTTCTTATCGTTATGGTCATTTTTCTAACCAATTGTAATGATGTAAAAAATCTTGCTATATTTTCACATTACTGCTTCAGGTCACTCGTCTATGCGATGTTTCTTTTGATAGTGACATCATTTCCTCCGTTTCATGGTCAAAAAAGGCAAGCTTTACTTTTCTTGTATTGCTATCGCGAAGCAAATGAAATGTCAGACTAGTTCTGTCCTATCGATACATTTTTTAATTTAAATTTACTGACTATATTCTAATTACTTAATATATAAGGAACTCATTTTTTAAAATATTGAGCTTCAAGTATACTCCTGTTTTAGCATACTAGAACACAATAATACCCTATATTCTTCCATTGTCATTAACACTATTTATCTTCATAGCCATTTCCAATCTACCCAATTTTACGTTTTTGCATGAATTGTCATTCTATATAATTTGGCTTTATCTCTTACATATTTTAACATTTTCTTATCCTCATTTCTCCTTTCGCACTTTGTGTTCATAATCTATGTTGGCATTAAATATTTAATTTTCTTATGCTATTTTCTAAGTGTTCAAATTTAATAGAATTCTTACACTCAGTTTTTATTCTTGTAGTATGCTTCGAGTTCTTTAGTAATTCTTTAATAAGTGCCTGATCTTTAGTTGATCTATGGACTGATAGTGGATTTTTCCCACGCTTATCAATATGCACTTCGATGTTTTGTCTCAAAATGACCTCATGACCCATGCCTAGGTCTCATCAATGGTATTAGTGCCATCATGAAGCCTACTCACATCAAAGTGAGAAAATTCCACTAACAGACCTTAAATCCCCTCAAGTGACTTATATTCACTAAGTTCTTATTCAAAAATTATTGATAGTCTTAAGGAATTAAGTATTTTGGTAGTTTGTATTTTCAAATAAATGTTAGCCTTATACATTTTCACTATAAAGGCAATTTTAGATAAGTGCGGCTTGCTTTGAAAGAAACTGTTAAGTGATCTCAATTGCATCGTTAGGCCATATTTTTGTTTCAATAGAAAAATTTACACCTTTCATTCATAGTAGTTCTTTCGATTTTTACTTTGATATTAAAATTGGTATTCTATGTGCTTTACTTGAAAATTGATCTGCGATTATTTCCAGAAATCTTTTACAGTGCTTAAATATACCATTATTCTCTATATTCGGTCAACTATCCTCTCGTATAACTATTTTTATTCTTTCAAATTAGTCCTTTTTAAGATTTCCGAAAAATTCGCCGTATTCATGATTTGTTAAATGGCAGATATCCACACAGCTTTTATTTATCAATTCCACTCGACTTGGTCGGAGCGGTAGAGACCTTGTGGAGCATTCACACTCCTGTATCTTCTGCCATAGTATTCATAATAATTTCCAGCATCAGACCATCAATTTGGTACCTTCCCAGACCTTATGCTAGCATCGTCAATGAGAGGCGCAATCCTTAGCACGGAGTTAATTTGATAATGTTGGAGTTCCTTTTATTTCATTTGAAAAGGCGAGTAGAAGGGATTTATAAATTCGTCTTACCGGAAGTAGAAGAGGAGTTGCCTTGGATATGTGACTAGATTTGTGAGAATAGGTCCTTGCCGCACTGACGTGCGACCCCAATGTATCCTTGCTATGCTTTCCCTCGTCATGTGACAGACATCATCCGAGCAGAGCACCATCCTCACGATAATTCACCAAAATAAAGGTGCCCTGCTGCAAACATCTATTTTCTATAGCCTAACCTTGTCCGGTTAATGAGACACCTTATGATTTGGTCGGATATCCTGTACGTTCCCTAAATGTTCGCTGAAAACTGAAAGGGCTGCAGATGAAGCGTGAAACGGATGCAATTGTGACCAAATAATCGCATTCTCCTCCAAATCACTTATATTTAAGATCCTGCAATACCGATGCATGCTACTTTGTTCTAGTGTATGTGTGCTGTGTGCTCTTGAATTGTGAGATGTGAGAGTCAAAACCAGACCTAAGCTAATAAAGCCTCCTGTTCGGCGGCACTTCTTGTCTTCTCTCTTTCTAACCTTATCTAACAGTCACAAGTAATTTCCACTTTATTTCCTACACATTTCTTCTATCAGAGTATTAGCTAAGCATTTGAAATTAGGCCGGTCTATTTGGTATAATTTGCGAGCCGTGTGTTCGGTTAATTCCTATATTGGGACCTAGAAACCTTTACCGACTGTTTTGTGTGTCTGTCTTTCACATAGGCATAACCGTACGAGCACACAATTTTCTGACTGCCCGATCCAAAGAGAAGGTCAAAACATTTTAGAAAAGAATGTATTACCGAGGAACGGGTTATTTTCTCCTTATAAATAGTTCTGATGTTCCACATCTTCCTTAAGAGACTACACAATGGCAAGATAAGGACTCAGGCAAAGTGATTCAGCCTCTTATGTATCTCCATCCTATTTGACAACATTATAAAATAATTGTCATTCAGTCTTTGTTAATAATTGTTATCATCGGGAATTTTCCATAATCGTCTCAAAATCTGGTCCCGATGATCAACATCTACCAGATGCAGACTACTCATTCTTAAAGTCCCCATACCTACTTTAACCCCATAATTAGGTTGGAAAAGAATTCAAAAGGAAACTTGCCTTTGTGGGTTTCCTATGCATATCTCTACTTAATTTGGTCACCTATTTGCTAATTAGGATATCCAATACAGGTAAACAAACTCTCTTTCCAATTCTATTGTGAATTTCATCTTCCCGTCTATTCTCATATTCAAATTTCTAAGCTTATCATATATGTATCTAGCCTGCTGAAAAACTCTATCATACAGCCTGTCCGTCGTTCCTTATAATTTAGATGTATCTTCCGAGCTAAGAGTACTCGTCACTGATTAGCGTAATCTGGCTTTCCTCCATATAAAGGAGTGTAATTTTTTAATGTTTTGTTGACTAGTGATCTTGACTAAGTCCTGGGATGCACTCTGAGGGACTCGCTTAGTTCTATCTGGTGAATTTGGTCCATCTATAATACAATATCTAGGGGCTACTCCTCGTGATAAGCATTATTTTAAAGAATGAATAAGATTAATTTTTCAGGCCAGTGCTTTCTTTCTCTTGTAGATTGATGGTTCTCGGAGGGGGTGATTATCCATACTTACTACATAGCTATGTAGTTCTAGTTCTCTTATAAGGTTGGCTCCCCTCACTTTGCTGGCGAAACTTCTGGGAATATACCAAGTCAGCGGTTCGATGTTGGCAGGGGATATGACTGGGTATACGCTACAAGAGCTTTCTAGCTTTCCGACCCAGTTGCCAAAGCGAAGTCAAACCAACAAAATTCACTTTTTATTCAAATAGCAGGCATATGCCAGAATAATAATATCTGCTTTTTGCTATAGATTATAGTCAAATAAACTGCGATCAAACACCATCTTGGTCCTTAAATTTACGATTATAGCCAAATATTTGCAGACTGAGAAGGGAGAATAGACAAATGTACTACCATGAAAAATCCCTCTGAAGATGCGTTACTTCCTAACTTGACACTTATGAGATCTGCATAAGCCTTGCGAGCTTAAGGAAAACCATGCTGCTAGTTTATTTTAATGGTTAAAATGGGGGAAAGAGATATGTCCAAATTCCTATGATCCTGTTTCCGAATACTCGCTTCCAACTCTATTTTCACGTTTACTCAAAATTGGCTAAAATAAAACTTCTTTTATCCATTTGAAATCCACCTTTTTACCAGTTATGCATGAATCCATAGTATATAACTTTTTATATATCTCGTTTTAGGGTCAATACGTAGCAGTAGGCACTTATCGAGGCCATGTGCAAATCTGGGACGTGCATTCGAGACAGTGCCTGCGTTCATTGAGTGGACATCTGGCTCGCGTGGGCGCTCTGGCCTGGAACTCTGATTTACTTGCATCTGGTAGTAGGGATAGATTTATTTTGCTCCGGGATACCCGAGCCTCGCACAGCACCGGCGGTGGCCCAGCTGCCCCACTTCCTAGGGCACCCATTGGTGGCACTCAACAAGACGTTGGTGGGCACTCCGGCAATGGCCGTATTACGAGCGCTGAAGATATTTCGCGTCTAGCTGGCATATCTCCACTCCCATCCAGACGGGTACGTTTTAAGCTAGTGCTCTTCACTTTCCTGTGCCACGTTTCAAGTACTCTGTGAATATTTTCAATCCGTACAAATTTACTCAATAGTATATTACAGTATTAATAATTTTCTGAAGTCTTCTTTAATTTTCTAC